GAGTCATTTAGGTTACGTGCAGTTACTGAACACCAGTTTGTGTTGAATGAGGATCTGGGGGATTGAACAGTGAGAAGAATCACTGAAGGGTTTTTTGCCTCTTAATAGTGAGATTAGTCTAATGGACTGTTGGAGGCTTCATTTAATGTTGCATTAATGTTACTGCCACTGAGCGTGATAGTTGAAGTCAAGAACGAGTAGAGTGCATTTACATTCACTAAGCAGAGACATGCCATGTGAGTTTACTTAATTGCTATTTACTTTTATTAGCCTGGAAAATCATCTCAGATTTTTCATTTTACGTTTATAGTGGCAGTAAATTCACAAGCAGGGTAAGCCTGCAGATTCTGGAACAGCTTTCTGGAGTGAAGCAATGAGACAAGGCATTATTGAAACCCTTCAGGCCTGCAGCAGTAGGTGCTGCGTTCTGCTGTGTGCACTGCAGCTGGGAGGGAGCTCGCGAGGCTCACTGGGAGCACAGATGCTGTACAGGGAGGGCTGTGTCAGCTCCACAGGTTAACTGAAGCTAAGTGTAATTTCTCTTCTGCTTGGGTGACTGAAATGCTTTTTAGGGCTGAAGATATCCGTGGCCTACTTCTGCTTGGAAAGGATTTACATATGGAAAGGTCCCTTAATTTAAGCACAATTACTGTATGCTAGAGCACCCACTAAAAAAATTGCTGTTCAGACTCTAGAAATCTATTCAAGCAGCTATTGCTTTTAAGCAAAAGAAATCAAAGATCCAGAATTTTACTAGAGTTGCAAGCCCCAGGTACTGTCTTAGTAAACAAAAATAGGGTTTTTTTTTTTTGTTTTTTTGTTTTGTTTTGTTTAGTTCATTTATTTTTGGTGTTTTTCCTGAAGGATAGCAAATGTGTCTTGTTTGATGAAAGCTGGCAGGTAATTTATTCTCTTTTAAGCGAGAACTGTATATGCTGTTTAACTGTATATGCTGCTGTGTCCCACAACCATGGCAGCTTGGGATCCTGGTCTGGTGGTAGCAGTGGTTCAGTGAATGCATTGCAGAATCATGAAGGTGATTACTGTCATCATGTTGGCCCTGAACTCAAGTAGCAAAATAGGCATGTAAGTGGGTTTTTTCATTCCTGGGGACAATGAGGTAAGGGGAGGTTTGGGGGGTTCTGCCTAAATGTTTTTTTTTGCAGATGAAAATTCTAAAATTGTGAATGACATAATGCGGTGGGAAATTCTTCCATATGCCGTGGCAGTGGCTCAGAGCCAGTCAACGAAGCTGAAGAGATTTGAACTGCTGTTCAGAACAGTTACTTAACAGCCTAATTCACCTGACATCCCTGCCCTCTCTGCCCCATCCCTGTTAGGTGGTGGTTTGTGAATTTGAGAATTGCAAACCAGCAGCTCAGCCATGAGAATCCTGTGATGGGTGGCTTGACCTAAAAGACTTAGAAGGAATTCCGATAGTTCAATACTTGTTTCAGCAGTGACACCCTTCCTTACCTTCTCCCTAGTTTATCACTGACATCTTCTCAAGAGCTGGAATCCTTAATGACTAAACCCCTTCTCACTGCATCTTAATCTGTGATCTGTATCTGCCCTGATTAACATCTGGACCCCTGGTTTCAAATGCCAGTGGGAACAAGTCTGCTCTGATTCCTTATTTTCTCAAGGCATCTGTAAAGCACAGCTGTACATGGTGCAAGCCCGTGGGTGTTAGTCTGAATGCGTTTGTGCAATAGCAGGAATGTGAAACCAGCATGAAACACTTGGCTGGACAGGGTACTGCATCAAGTGGGAAGCTGAAGTTACTTTCACTGAGAGAGACAAACTGTTCCTCAACACTTCATACCACTGAAATGTGGTATGAAGTGGCCACTTATGTGGCCTCTGTAAGAACAGACATCTAGACATAAATATAATTTGGGTGTTTGGTATATTTAAAAAAAAAAGACAAAACAAAACAAAACAAAAAACTAAAACAAAACAAAAAAAAACAACCCAAATACAACAAACTGCAATATGGGAGGGCTGGTCTCATTTTTAGCTGTTAAGATATGGAACTTGCAGTTGTCTGTCAGTTACTGGATAAGTAATCTGGTATACTACTAACACTCACAAGATGAGCTCATGAGATCATTACTTGCTTGCTTGTAAGGGAATTATGCCTAAATCTGCAGTGATGGAACCAGGTCAACCCCACAGGAGGTCTGGTTGTTCTGATGCCAGGTGGAGCCATGTACCACTTGTCCTTATTACGGTAATTTGTTTCCATTACTTTGAGATTCAGCTAAGGTAAGACACAGATTTTCCCACGTGTAGGTTAGAGTGAAATCAGTAAAGAACACTTCCAAGTATTAAGTTTGATGCTTGACAGTTTACTCTCAAAGCTAGGCGAGCTCAGTGGTGTCAGTTCCTTCTAAGATCATCTCTACGTCTGAGTTCAGTTGTGAAATAAATTATGAGGTCAACATACTGCTGCTGGTGAGGGATTACAGACAAGGTTGTCTTAAAATAATCCATTTAATTAACTGCTTCTGAAATAACTGGCCTGCATATTAACAATGTCCCTCTTATTAATTAGGCAGTACTAAAGTACTGTGTTGAGTAGTCTATTGTAAGGGAGAAGAGAATTCACTGTTATTTCAGGAAGGTTTATTTCTCTTTCCCTCTCAGCCTGAAACAGTCCTTGCCAGGCTTGAATGGGAACAGGAGGATACTGCTGCTTCCGTGTTGAGGTTTGCCACTCTCAATTGGCCTGGATGCTTTTCAGTTGTAATTATGGAGATATGATGAATGTTAAGTGATAGAATGGGACCACTTAACTCTGACAAGTTCCTGAGGCAGCCAGTGCTGATTGAGGGAAGTCGTGTTAAGTTGCAGTGGGACAGTTACACAAGGACACAGTGGCCCCAGAACATACAGCTGAGTGTTCTCAATTTTTTGGCACCTCCTTCATTCTCACCCTTCATTCTGCCTTTTATTTCAGGTAATAGTCAAAATCACTCTTGTGTTCCAGTGAGGGGAACTGGTTTATAGCAATTGGAGGGGAGTGGTTTTAACTATCCTCTTGGACTCTGCTACATGAGTAACCACGTAAGGAAACTGGTAAAATTAAGAATGACAAAATGTAACTGGAGATGCCAGAACATGTTAATAGGAAGATAACCAGCGCAGCAATTGCCAAAGTGAGTAAGTGCATCCAGTTGCTTCGACAGATCCTCTCTGCTCATGCAAGTAATCGCAGAAGGAACTGGAGATTCTTAAGATTCGTAACAGTGCTTCAGGCTGAGGGAGCTGTGACATGAGAGTGTCGTACAGTGCAGCATCTAGCTCTGATGAGCAAAGACTTAAAAAAGGTTACTGCTGCAGTAAGCACCTTTGCAGAACTGTTTCATCAAAGCACTGTGTTTCTTTAAATGGGATTCAGGGTTGATTTCTGAGTATGAGTGAGTGCAAGTACTGGGGGAAAATCAATCATGAACGCACTGCTAAAGAGAGGATGCTACTATTAAAAGTTCAGCTAGCTACAGGCATGTAAGTCCTGTTTGCATCTGAGGCAGCCCCAGAGGACAAGCTTTTCTGAGAATGTATATACCATGAAAAACTCTTCTAAACTTGCAGCAAAAATACATGCTGGTAGCCTGAGCCCCCTGCAGATAGCGTTTCAGAGAACTTCCACTGAAGGGTTAGTTATCTGCTCAAATTAGTTGTTTAAAAGTCATTTTGGAAAGATTAATGACACATTAGAAAACTTGTACAAGTTTATATTGAAAATCAGTCTGCATGAGCAGGTCGCCTAATTTACTAAAAATTACTTCTTTAGATTTAGGAATACACAGAAGAAAACCTTAACTGGTCATCACAAAACTCAAATGACTGAAGGCAATGACTCAACTTCCACAACAAAAAGGACTTACACATGCCCTTTACCAGTGTAGATCAGTTTTTTGCTAGAGGAGAAAAACATGCACTGCATATGTAGCATTGCTGTTCTTATTACAGCCTGATAACCTTGCCATGGATCATTTGTCAACAGTTTGAAGAAAGCAGTTAAGCCTGTCCACAACACTGCAAGAGGAGACCAGGCTTCAGCTGATGAACAGCAGCTTAACTCTACCACATTCATCCCAGGTCAGATAATCTACAGCCTTAGCCTGAATGAAAGCTCACCAAAATTACTTTTTTACATCTGTAACAAGCAGCTGATGGATTTTAAACAAATATAACCACAACCTCAGCTAGGGAGAGCTAAAAAGCCTACATGATATAATTATTTTCATGTTCCAGGATCAGAGGGAGATGATGACATCTTGGGTGAATTTCTGTACAAGGGTTCCACCACACCCTCTCTCAACTATTCCATGCTGACAAGCTTTTACTTAGCGCAAAGAGGCTACAAAACTATGAAACAGTCTTTAAAAAGGTAGTTTCAGAAAGCTTTATTGATACTTTTTAATTTATTACAGCATCAGTAAATTACATTTCACATTAGCCTGCTTTACACTTTCAAACCAGTTCTGGACGATGTTACAGAACTCTGTACTACCATCTCAGGGAACAAGTACAGTTTGGAAGCACTTCTAGTGGTGTTTGAGTGTGACAGTGACAGGCCTGAAGACAGGGTTGCTTTGTCACATGACACCACAGGTAGAAAGCAGATCTCTTAAAATGCTGTCATGCTGGTTAACCATATCGCTGGTCCAAAGGCTCTTCCCTTCTGCTATCTTGACCAAAAAAAGCCAGATGCTTCCCTATGTCGTCGCACTCTGTTGTTCATCCCAAACCTAGGCTTGTAGCAATACTGGTGGTAATTAAGAAATCTGTTCGCTTATTATAGAAGTGAGACAAATTCACTTGATAGAGACTATCACAACTTTGTGCAGATGATATTGCATAAGTGAGAAAATAATTCTAAATGGGATTCTGAAGATTCTGAAGTCCAACATTGTTATTTAAAATACTTTTTCATATTAATTTCCTATGAACTTTGTATGTCTACCTTGTGCAATTAACTTTCCTGTAGCCTTATTTGTTAAATCCACAGTGGCAAATGCAAGAGTTTTTCCTTGCTTCAAAATTTGAGCTGTAATCAGTATCTCTTCTCCAATCTTAGCAGCAGAAGTGTATCTTCAAGGAAGAAAAAAAGGAACAGGTAAGCAACTGTACAGAGGATAAATCCAAGAAAGTTCCTGCATTTTACGTTATCATGAAGGAATTAGTAGGAGTGGGTAATAAAGCCAGATCTCTCTCTGCCTGCCTACTTGCAAACCCCCACTTAATGGATTTGAGCTCCTCTAACTACTGGCAGTGGTAAGTAAGTGTAAGAGTTCTCTGACAAAATGGAGGCTAGAAAAAAACCCATTTGCTTCGTTCTGAGCAAAAGTCTGTTTTGGAACAGAAACAATGAAGTATCCAAGGCTTCAGTTAAAAGTTCAGCTCCAAGTCCTATTCCAACCACTGCTGGCTTCCTACAGCCTTTCTAAACTAGTCTGGCTGCTTCAGCTGCAAAATGTCACTGTCACAAAGGCTCCAGAAGGTCATTTCTGTATGGAACTGTAAGCATAGGTTAACTGTTCCCATACCCTGATTAGAGGAAAGTCATGAAAATCTGGGCAGCCCTCAAATGTTGTTTCCATTTCATTAGAAAACTCTTTGTTTTATTTACATGAGCAGCAGGGTGTGCTTTTAAAACATGCTGTTTGGGGAATAGGAAGAAATTTCTGCACAAAGAATTCCCCTGGAACGAATTAGGAGGAACGTGATCTAACCATGATCTGAGGTAAGGGAACAATATTCAAATGTTGGAGTGTAGAGGAAAATGAAGAATTGCTGGATGTTAATCTTGTTGAGATAAATTTCATCAATGAGTCCATTTTTATACACGACGCCATGTCACAAGAATGTCAGTGACGCCTAACGCTGATGTAGCACCAGCTCCATTGCTTGACAAGGGCAGGATTTCAGCCTTGTCTCATTTCCAGAAGCTACTGCTGATCCTCTTGTGGTTACCAAAAAAAATTTTCTCTGTTTCTCTCTGTTCTTTCCATTACTGAAATAGCTTCCTCATGACAACTTTTTAAAAAGCTCCTTCCCAAAAAGGAAAAAAGTTCTTATAACAATATTTGATATCCAATCTCACTTGTTCAATGAATGCAGTAGTCCAAGTTAAAAAAAGGTATTAATATTGCTTCATGTAACATTGCTTAAAGGTAATTTTGGATCACCTCCAGAGACAGCACTTTCTTCAGATTTCAGCCCTTATGTAATTGGGTGAACATAACTGATAGTGTCAATAATTCAGATGTTGGCCTCTTGTTATACTACTACAGGAAAAAAACCCATAACGACAGGAGAATTTTAGGTTTTAATTTCCAGTAAGATCCTAGTCATCACAGTGGTAGATGAAACTTAAATAGATGCTTAATCCCCCATCTGCCTAGTGGAGAAATCAGAAGGCGCTGGGAGAGAAAGGAGGGAACCTGGTAAAGATACAGATCACCCCCCCACACACTTTTAAAGATTTCTTTTTTTTCTTTTTTTTTTTTTTAAGGCAGTTTTGATGAGGGGTTACTTTTCTAACATTTTTAATGCTCTGTTAGTTATTCCAAGGAGGATTACTTTAGTTCCAATTGGTCATAATGTCTTCATTAAAAGTAATGAAGCAAAGCTGACAAGCATGATCAAAGAAAGTTTCAGAACAATTGTTTTTTTAAGACACCGTGCTTTGAATCTCCATTACAGGAAGAACTATTCTCAGTAAAAAAAAAAAAAAACACCTTAAAATAACCTAGAGCAAAGGATTCTTCTTCCACTGAGAAATTCTGATTCAATCTGTAATTCACCCTCTATACACAACAAAGGTAAACTCTTTCTGCTTTAATACTTTTCTCTGGTTTATGGAATTATACTAAAAAAGGGATTACAGAAAACTGCTTACCCTAGAGTTTAGATTTTGAGGAGACATTAAACTACTGCACAAGCAAAAACTGAAACCAAACCAATTTCTTAGGAGTCAAATTGCTGGCATATCAACATACCTTTACATTCTATGAAGGAATGGACGCTGTCTTGTAAACACATGTAACAAATAAAATCTTAAAAAGGTCTAAATCAAAATTGAAATCAAATGGCACTCTCCAAAAACACACATGCAACCCCTTTAATTTATCGAAACAGGACTTCAGGAACCAAAGAAAATACCCATTTTTAGTGAGTGCCACAGCACAGAAAAGATGTACAATGGAGTCAATAGGGGAAGAAAAGTGAGTATGTTTTGGTACCACAGTGGACGATACCTACGTGATGTTCATGTCCACGCTGACCCCAGGCGCTGCTCTTTCTGTGTACAGCAATGCTGCTGTTGACACCACATCCACAAGGGTGGCTGTCAAACCTCCGTGTAATGTGCCACCTCTGTTTGTATGCTCCTCCTCCACTTTCATTTCACAAACAACTTTTCCAGGAGTTGCAGATTGAAGTTTCATCTGTATAAACAAAAAAGGAATAAAAAGCTTAGTGACAGTAGTACCAACACCTAATACTGCCCTCAATCAAATTGAAAGTAAATTTTTTCTGACTCTGGACTCATGAGACAAATTAAAAGATGGAAAATAGTGTAATTCAACTGTCCTGTTAGATATTTCCATAGATTTTGAGCAGAAGACTGTTGCCTTAGAAAAATCTGTACTCCTAATGCAGACAAATATTTAAACTGACAGCTTAACAGAACTTCAATAGGTGCTGTGCTGTCAGGAATTCCTTAGGAGGAAACTGTCTTCAGTTTTCCTTTTGCATTAAGCTGTGAGTGAAAGACCAGATTAGAGAGAACACAAAACTGCTCTAAGTATCTGTGTCTGCCATAGTTGTGAAGGCATATTTGTTAGCTCAGAAAATGGAAATGAGACCACCAGTAATTCATTAACCATTATATAAGTGCAACCTCAATAAAAATCAGTATTTTGAAACGAGCATTGGAAATACTAATCAGATTGGCCTCTGACTGGAAATTCATATTCATGACTAGAAGTATCCAAGGCTGTATCACAGTGTTACAGCATCATTATTGCATATACAATTTCATTCCAGCCCACAGGTGGTAAATCCAGAATTACAGCTCACCTATGATACCATGCTTCCCCCTGTAACCAACAAAAGAAGTAATTTTGACACCAAGAAGTTACTGCAATTCAGTATTTGAAAATCTCTGTTTAAATTTCTTCAGTCGGTAGCACTATATTCCAAATCTGAAAGCAGATGCAAAACTGGGGTAAGTTCCACATATATTTACATGTATAACTAAGACTTTGAAGTGCCTTTAGACTATTAAAAGTGAAATGTGGACATATTTATTTCTTCCTACTAATTTTCAGGTTTTTTACAAGGGCTTTTTCAAACCTGAATGTTTCCATTCTGTTACCAGCTAAGCTTAAATATTTTTTGATCTTAAAAGGTATAAGGTTGATATGTTTCCAGTTTCATAATTCCTTATTTATAATGCAATTTAAGAGCTGAGTTTCACCCTTTCTGATAAACCAGAGTTTATCCAAGTTTTGCAGACAAAGCAAGATCAATGATGATGTAAGTGCAGTCTTCTAATGGAAAAAAAAATGGTATTACACAGAGAGGAAATTACTGAGGCAACATCCTAATGTAGAAATAGCACTTGTATCAATGAAAACCCCAAGCCCTAAATCAGGCATGCTGCACTGCACTGGAGGCCTGAGCTTCTGACAGAATTTCTAAGGAGGGCTTTACTGATGCCCAGCACTGGGAGCAGACGGCTTCCTCTCCTGTCAGGGACTGGTGCTCCACCCCACCAGCGAGGTGAGCAAAGCATCTGCTCCCATTTGTCATTGCTCTGATCTGGCACTACATGCCTGCTCTCCTTGACAAAAATAGTTCAGTACTTGAACGCTTCCAGGACCTACTCAGCTAGAGCTGCTGCTCTGTGCTTCTCCCAGCCCTGCTGTGCTTGTCCTCCCACGCGTCTGCCTCAGGGAACAGCACATTGCTTCAGCTTCCAGGCTTTAAACACACAGTCATTAAACCCTGGGTAGATACCACATTGGAGTTACACCAGAAACTAAGTCTGAGGATTGAGGTGAAAGGTTTCAGACTAAATGTGTCTTCTCCAGGATAAGAAAAAGCTTGAGTCATTTACTTATGGTAAGAGAGATTTCAGGTATCTCCCAGAAAAGCAGCAGTTACTTTTAATTCAAACTATACTTTTTTTATTATTATTATAATCAGATTCCTAGCACCCTAATTCCAGAAGGTTGCAGGAAACATCTGAAAGTATTCCAGACTGGAAGCCTGTCTCCCAAGGTTCACTTCCAGGCAGTTACCTTTACAAACTGAAATGCTAATATTTGCTCACCACTTACCAGGATTTAAAAGGAGCGTAAAGCTATCAGTGAATCAGCTATAAAGTGAAGTGGTGACTAAGAATTAAATGGACTCTATAAATATATAAATTATCTTCTTAAAGCTTTATACATTTTTTAAAAACTTTATACTCACTAACATGTCTTGGAAAAACGTGACTGCAAGAATTATTTTACAAACAGTTGATTTTTATTAAGTGTACCAGATCATGGAGCTGTCAACAAAAGCACTGCTTCCATTATAACATTTGCTGCTCTACAATGCAAAGCATATTGATTTTTACATGGCTGATTTTCTTAGATATATTTACTCCATCACTCCATGTCACAGTTACACAACCAAATAAAAACTAAAGGGAAAATTTAATGAGAACACTGAAACTGCTTCTAGAACAAGAACTTTCCTACACAGCAGCTATGCTACTGCATTCTACACAAGTTGTAGTGTAAATTAACAGTAGCTTCAACTTTTTTTTAGCATAACGTAACATGACACTGCAGCACTACCAGTGCAGTGTCAATTACATTTCCTTACACCAGAATGTGCAGTGAAGTTATAGTGTACAGCCTTGTGTAGAAGAAATGCAGAGAGCACTGGGGGGTGTGCGTTGTGCTTTCAGCCTGACTTCAGGCTCAGGAGATGTCATAACGAGGCATCTTTCTAATTTTAAACAGGGAAGAGTTAACTTTACAATTTCCTGGTCCTGGAAGTTAGTGGCTTCGCACGTACGTAGGAAGGAAAGAATGCCACCTGCTGAATGACTCCTGAAGGTTATTCAGTACAACCACCTTCAGGAGCTGCTGGAAGGCAGCTGGAGTGTTTAACGAGAGTTACTGAACAACAATTGGGTAATTATTATAACAATTGTTTTCTACCCCATGTTAGCAGCACGGCCACACGCCAGGGTGCGCGGCCTGGAATGCGGGGAAACACCGGCGAGCCTGCACCACCGGGCTCCTGCCGTGCCCGCAGCATGACGCCCTGATCCCGGTTCAGCCGGTTATTCCGGGAGGGGACAGGAGGCCGGAGAAACGAGCTGTCCCGGCGGGGCCGCGCTCCCGGAGCCCTGCCCTCCAAGCGCCCGTACCTTGCGGAGCACCCGGTCGAAGCCCTTCGACTCCAGCATGTACTTCATGGCCTCCTTCAGGCTCTCCGCCGTGAACCCCATGCTGCCGCCCCGCTGACCGCCGCCCGCCCGCGCCCCGGAACGGCAACCCCGGCGGGCGGTGCCTGTCGCCGCCTTCCGCCGCAGCCATGGAGGAGCGGGCCGAGGCGGCGCCGAGCCTGCCGCCGGTGGAGCACAAGGCGGAGCAGGAGGATGAGGAGGCGCTGCACGTCGCCAAGCGGAGGAAGGTGCTGTGCTCCGAGTTCTCCACCATCACCAGCAGCGACGAGGCCGTGGCTCGCCGCTTCTTGGCCGCCAGCGACTGGCACATGGAGGTACGGCCGGGGCCGGCGGGGCCGCGGGGCTGCCCGGCGGCGGCCCCTCCCTGCCAGCCGCCCCTGTGTTTCAGAGGGCGCTGAACGCCTACTTCGACCCGCCGCGGGACGCGGAGGCAGCGGCGGGCGGGGCGGCCCCGGCCTGCGCGGACACCGGCGGCTGGTAGGTGACAGGGACGGGGGGATGTGGCAGGAGGAGGGGGTCGGGGAGCGGAGCCTCCCCGGGGGGAGGCAGGTGCCCCTCGGCAGGAGGGCGCTGGGGCCCCCACAGCCGGGGAGAGCCATCGCCGGGCCGAGGGTAACTTGGGGAGCAGCGCTCCCCTCCCGCCGGGCATCGCACCTCCGCTGAGGTGTAGCGAGGTGCGTGGTTCCTGTTCCTTTTCTGCTCCCGTTCTCGTCCTTTCCCTACGTTTCTCTCCCATGGAGAGGCTCACAGGCTGTATTTTCCCTCTGTGGGCCCTCTGGACTGGTGGATTGTGAACGTTTTGGAGAAGGTATAGGCATAGACATTTTCTTTTCATTGCCCTGTGTTGTGCAGCGATATGTATGCAGATTTTACCATACACACATTTGTATATGTGTAAATTATGCGTATTTGTATTATACCAGGTGCATGAAAATTTTTATTTCTATAAATAAAATTGGCACGTACATGCACACCTTGTTAAATGTACCTGTGAAAGTTAAGATGCAAGATCTGTGTTTTACATACACCATCTCACAGCGCATCTGGAGAATGTATTGAGTGCATTGATCTGCACATGGAATTGAACTTTTCCAGATTCCTGTGTGCTATGGTTTAACTGCAGATAGCAACCAAGTAGTATGCACCCACTCACTCAGACACCCTGACTTACCACCACCCTCTCAGTGGAGTAGGAAAGAGAATTGAAAAAAAAGATCAAACCCATGGGTTGAGCTAAAAACAGTTTTACAGCAGAAATAAAATTAATGATAATAAGATAAAATTAATTGTCATGAAATTTGAGATAACAAAAAGAGAGAGAGAGATGGAAGCCAAGAAAGATAAGTGATGCACGGTACAGTTGCTCACCACCCACTGACTGATGCCTAGCCCATCTCGAAGCAGCAGTTGGCTCCTCCTGACCAATTCCCTCCAAGTTCATTCACTGAACATGATGATCTATGGTATGGAATATCCCTTTTGCCAGTTCAAGTCAGCTCACCTCGTCATGTTTCTTCCCAGCTTCTTATGCACCTGGCAGAGCGTGGGAAGCTGAAAAGCCCTTGTCTTGAGGTAGGCACTGGTTAGCAACAACAAAAACATCAGTGTGTTATCAACATTATTCTGACCAGGTTTGCTTGGCAAGGTTTTGGTAGTGAGGGCTACAGGTATGGCTCCTGTGAGAAGCTGCCAGAAGCTTCCTGTGTGTCTGACAGAGCCAAGGGCAGCTGGCTTCAAGGCAGACCTGCTGTGGAACAATGCTGTGCCCATCAGCCATGGTGGTAGCGCCTCTGGGATAATGTACTTAAGGTTAAGTTGCAGCAGCACAGCATCTGCAGCAGAAGAGAGAACTGAAAACAGCCCTGCAGACACCAAGGGTCAGTGAAGAAGGAAGGGCAGGAGGTGATCCGGGTGCAGGAACAGATTCCCCATGTGCAGAGCATGGTGAGGCAGCCGTGCTCCTGCAAGCCCAGTGGAGGACCACAGTGGAACAGAGATCCACCTGCAGCCCGGGGAGGACTCACCACTGCGGCAGCTGGGTGCCTGAAGAAGGCTGATCCCATGGGAAGCCCACGCTGGAGCAGGGTCCTGGCAGGACCTGTGGGCACCTGGACAGAGGAGCCTGTGTTGGAACAGGTTTGCTGGCAGGACTTGTGACCCCTTGGGGAGTCCACTTTGGAAGCAGCCTGTTCCTGAAGTACATAGGGAAAGAGTGGGATTGTGGGGAAAGAGTTGAACTATTCAAGTGCTTTGGATTTTGTTGATTGCCATCTGATTAGCTTACATCAGAATGGTAAGTGTTATCTTCTATCCATAAGGTGGAGAAAAAACCACTTACTTCACCTGTGTGCCACAGCTCTGTACGACTGGGGTCTGTATGTTTTAGCTATTGCGCTTTTAAACGATGTTGAGATCCATACATGCTTTAGGAGATAAGTGAGGCAATCACAGATAGGTTAGTATTATGCATGTTAACAAACAAATGCACTTTCTCTTCAGCATTGACCTCACTGGAGATGCAACTACAAGTACTGCTGGTGTCAACAGTGAAGACTCACAGCAAAAAGAAGATGACAGCAACTTCTCGCTGATCACCTGGAACATCGATGGGCTGGATCTAGGAAATGTGAACGATCGAGCTAGAGGAATCTGTACATACCTGGCATTGTAAGTACAACCTGCTCTTTGTATTGTCAGGTGCCTGGATTCAACAGAAAAATAAAAAGGCTTCTTGATTTAAGAATTTACGAATCTTCATGTCCCAATTATCTTTATGTTAGATGAAACAGATCAATCACCCTATAAGTCCTAAATAGCTGAGAGTTGCTATACTGACTAAAAGGTGTGAACCTATGCAGCATCCCAGAGGTTAGATGTTTTGAGATAGCTACTTCAAAAGTCTAATAATGAGCAATATTGTTCAGGTTGCAATCATACATCACAAACACAGCTCATAACATCCTGTACATGAGAATCTTCTGGAAAACATGTCCCAAAGCTACTTTGCAGCAGCTGAAGTTAAATTCCTCAACTTATACCTGCAAGGTCGTGGTAGAAGGAAGTCATGCATTTTATTACCATGTTGTTTTCATGTTCATAATAACAATTGTTTCCTCCCTTTTAGTAATGGTGGTGTCTATGTGCTGCTAAATACAATGCAGATAGCTTTTTCTTTTTTAAAGAGCAGATTCTTACAAAACCTAGGAAAGTGAGAGCAAGGTGCACCTGAAATCCCTGACTTTGTTCCATTTGGCATCAGAGTGTTGCAGTACTACTTCTCAGTAATTAATTGCAATTTTTCTTGCCTTGCTGATTTCAGATACAGTCCAGATGTTGTGTTTTTACAGGAGGTCATCCCACCACATCTCCCTCTTCTCCAGATGAAAGCAAGCAATTACACTATTATTCCAGGTAAGAAAATACCCTCAGGTGCTAAAGACAAAAATCAGAAAACAAAGGTTGGGTTTATTCTGTTTCTCTTGCCAAAACCTCCAACCATTTTGAAGTATATAAAGAGTAAAGTCAAGAAGGAAGCACTCGATGTTTCTGTGTTTTGGTATCAGCATGTAGCTTGATGCAAATTGTGCATGTGAAAAGCTTGTTTTCCTGGCATTTTCCTTTGTATTTATGTCTGCATTTTGAAAGGTTGGTAGCAAGGGTAATAAAAAAGTACCACAGATAAGTAATTTTTTTAGGTATTTGCATTTAAAAAATCTGGAAAATTCAGACCATTATTATGCAACTTTTCACTAGTGACTTAAAACTCTACATATTCTCGCAGGTTGTGGTAAAAAGGTCTCTTTCAGAACCTTAACTGCTTTATGGCAGTTCTGCTGTGGCTCAGCAGAAGATGTCCTCAAACATTTCTTTGCTTGGTTCTCTGTAGGTAACGTAGATGAGTATTTCACTGCTGTAATGTTAAAGAAATCGAGAGTGAAGCTGCTGAAACATGCCATAATACCTTTTCCAACGACTGCCATGAAGAGGAACCTTTTAGTTGTGCATGTGAGTGAGTCAGGATGTACTAAGCAGCTGTACTTCTGCCTTCCAAACAGAAAATCCCAGGAAACACTGAATTGGCTTTTTCTCTATGACAGTCTCAAAGAGCAGAAAAACTTCTTCAAGCCTACAAACCCAGTTGCATTTGATCCTGACAAACTTAAATCTTTTATGCAAGTTACTTACCATACTTTGCTTTCTAGTCTCATAACCTCTGATAACAAAACTAAAATCCTTCTGTAAGCCCATTTTCTTCAATGTAAAACTAATGTTAACCAGAGCTCTGACATTCAGTCATTTGCTTTGTGATTAGATTTTGTGTTTGAGCTTCTTACCATGATGTGGATCGTAACACTGCCTCTTTGTTTCTCACATAGGTGAGCGTATCTGGTATTGAACTTTGCCTTATGACTTCTCATCTGGAGAGCACTAAAGATCACGCCAAGGAACGTATAAAACAGCTGCAAATCGTGTTAAATGAAATGCAGAAAGAGTCTAAGTCCACCACTGTTATATTTGGAGGGGATACAAACCTCAGAGACAGCGAGGTAAATAGAAATAAGCAACTTTGCTCTCTAGAGAAGGTATTTTGACAAAAACTTCTCAGGCTTTTCTGTTGTCTTGATGAGAAATTACCTGCTTAGGCAGAACAGAGATAGTCAACACTTATTCTTAAGATGTGGAACTGTGACTAAGTAGAAGTAAGCATTGTTTTGGCTGAGGTGATATATATGGAGACCCCTTCCGAATAACAAAATGCTTTAATAACAATACTTGTATCTGAGCTGGTGCAGGCAAATTTGATGAAAGTTTTGGCTTCAAAAACATCATCTCATTTTAAGAACCTGGTCTTTAGTTGTTCTACTCTCCAATTCTCAGAATCAGTGAAAGAAAAGGGTGCTCTGGAGAAATAGATCTTAATTCCCAGCAATCAAGACATTCAAAATTAGAAGTA